GTAAATTTAAAAGAATTAAAAGGCATGATTTTAAAAGTGTAAATTTGTGTCCGCCTGCTAAACTATGAGAATTTTTTGTATTAACGAGTATATATGTGTAATACTTTATTTTTTAAAATTATATATATATATATATATATATATATATATATATATATACTTTTCTTTTTCTTTTTTGTCATTAGTTTCATTTTATTTCAAAAATAATTTTTTTACCTACATTGTTTCATTATCTCTCAAATGTTATTCGATTTATTCAATATTTAAGACATATAAATAATTTTTTAGACACATACTTAATTTTTTTTTGCAGTATTTTTATATAATATATCGTTACTTTTTCACTTGAGAATTTCTTAAATTTAAATGTTCAATTGTACATGTGTATCATTTTGACATTAATGATGGATAATATCATGTTTGTTTGTTTTGCTGCAACTTTTATTTATGTTATAAAAATATTATTTAATTAATATTTAAAACAGTAAATGAGCGTATATAAATAATGTCACTATTTCACTCTTTGTAATTTGAATATTATAAGGTATTGTAGTATTAATTACTAAATTTCAAATTCTTAAAAAAGTGAGATGAAATGAAAGTATTGAAAGAAATGTGTTGATTTAGGAGTAAAGTAAATAGTAATTTGCATTTGATGTTGTGATGATAAATTAAATAGAAATTAACGTGTAACCCTTTGTTTGGGCCAGACTTGATATTTATTGAATGAAGCAAGTAAGTTGCTGCATGTGTGTGACTTTGTGTAACACAATGCATACTTCTTTTTATTTGTTTCAGTCTCCTTAAAATTAATATTGAATCATCGGTCGTCAACGTTCAAAAGAATTCGGTCAATGGACTTATTTCACAGTAAGTTGCAAGATATCTTGTTTAAATAATTAGGCTTATATTTTATATACTAAAAAATTAACTTATATACTTTAATTTTATTAAAATACTTTCATCCACATATTGATAAGGTTACTATTGAAAGTACTTTTTTTCTATCTTTCTTTTATAGATATTTTAGGGATACAAATTGTTAATTCAGTTGATGTTTCCTTTCGGCAATTTCTTTCTTCTTATAGAAATGGATTATGAATTTGTAATTGTACATATAGGGAGTCACAAAGATTATCTAATGAAGCAATTAATTAGCATAATAATGATAATTAATTAAAATAATTAAAGTAATTAATTAAAGTAATTAATTAAAGTAATTAAAATAATTAATTGATAATTAATAGGTCAATTTTAATTAAAAATTCGTTACAAGTATATGTTTGACATTAGAATGGTTGACTGACTTTTTACAACTCATTTCATTAGAGTTATTGAGAAAAACCGCTCCTGGAAGAACCAAACGATTTAAGAGAGTTGTACCCTATTTCGAACCCATAAACCAAAACAGTGATGTTTGTGGTTCAGTTTTTTATCAAATAATTATGAATACTGATTCAATTTTAATTTAAACTATATTTAATTAATATTTCATGATTTAGTTTCAATCGGTTTTTATAACCTTCATTATTATAAAATCGTTAAATTTTTTTTTGAAAAAATAATTGTTAAAAAATTTACAATGAAAATTTATAAACTAATAAGAGGTGTTATCATATTATTTGTAGAGTTTTTATCGTATTTCTAATTTTAACTTTCTTCTATATCATAAATAAATTATAAAATTTCATAGTTAAAAATTTTAATACAAATTTAATATCGAGTTTTGATAGATATAAATATATTATAAGTATAATATAATTATATCATAAAAGCAATATTTAAAAGAAATAAAGTTTATCAGTTGTTTATTAAATTTAAATATAATAACATTATGTTTAAGTATAATGAGAAATTTGTCTTGATTCTTTATTTTCAACATGAAATTCGAACTAGGTAATTTGATTGAGGAAAAAAGATTATTACAAATATTTAAAGAAAATTGAATTTTTTTCCCATTTTTTAGTCAAGTTTGAGGGTTTTTTTATCTGTTCAATTTTAAACATTTTACGTGGACTTTCTTTTATTTCACCAAACAATCAAGTATGACTTAAAAAAGAAATATAGAATTAAAACTTAGTCAATAATATTATCAATATAAAATGAAGTAGATTTGTTCTGATCTTAATTATATGAAAAATAATCAAATTTAAAAATTGTTTAACGATCCTACAAGTATTAAAAAAATGGTGTACATGTTTTAATCTTGGTTTATATGTCAAAGGAATTTTGAATCTTGAGTTTTAAAAATAGTTTTGTACACTAAAGTAAAATTCCTCATTTATAGCTTTTACTCATTCTTAGTCTCTGAAACCGAGTACACATTATTTTACACAAAGTCTGAGAAATTGTTTTAAGCTAAACGTTGACGAGAGATAAGTATGAACACATTTCTATATTTTTTCACACTCTCTTTAGATATATGCTTGGAAAACTTAATAAAATAATATTAATGAATGTGTGGAGTTATTTCAGTTTAAGTAGAATAGATCTGTTCAACTCAAATAGCATTGTATTTAATGATAAGTATCATTGTCTACATTTTTTGTTTATAGATAATGAAGTATGATTCTTAAGATTTTATAAATACTTTGATCAAATTAAATATTACACTATTTCTATGTATGAGATTTTACTTTACCCTTAATTATCTTTAAAGATTGTGGCACAGATTGTTCAGCTAATTGTGACTTGACAATATATGGATTTTAATTATTATTTCAAAAGGAATTAATACAAAGGATTTGTTGCAAATTTTCTTGATAAGTAGTTCTTGTTAATAGTGTGATAATGGTATTCTTTTGTTTGGGATGCTTGAAATGACACAAAATAGTTATAATTCAAAGTATTATTAACTGAATAAAAAGGAATTTAGAAGTACCAAGTATGTAATGACTCTGTCAATTTCCATCAATGGGTTTTTTAGGTTTTAAAACATTAGTTCCTGTAATTTTTTATAGAAATTAAAATAGTATATGATGAGCTTATAACTAATAAAAGTATTTTTTATGCTTTTCATATGACTACATTTAGTTCCCATAAGAATATTTGTTAATTTTAACTTTGTATGTTTTCATGTAATTTTTTGTAAAATAGAAAATTTTAGTTAATGTAGTTAAATTTAGCGAAGAGTATTTCAAATAAAAACAATAGGTTTTTTAAGTAGAAAAATATTTTTTATTTTCAACTAATAATTTACTTGTTGATATAATTTTTTATTTAATATAATTACAATTTACTTATACATTAATAATTTATTTTTTATATATTAATTTTGATTTTACCTTGAATAATTGTTAAATAGTTTTGGATTAAATATATTTTTAGTTTTTAAACTTATACACAAAATTGAAATTAATTCATGTTTTAAAATTTAATACAATTTGGTCTCAAACTTAAAAAATAGTATATATAATTATTTTAATCCAAGATTACGAAATTTTGTTAAGGTATTAAATAATGTTTAAAATGATATTTGAAGTGAACGTATCTGTAATCAGATTAGATACAAACTTGTAATATCATTTAATATATTAAAAATTTTCACATAATTAAATTAAAAAAAAAAACTATATATATTTATTTTTAAGTTTAGTTCAAATTATATTAAATTTTGAGACTGAGACAAAGATCATATTGTCATTCAAATTTAAGAATTAAAAAAAATTATAATAATAGTTTACTTTCTAATATATTTTAAATAAGAATTTTAATAAAGTGATACTTCACATATACAACTTCCCTTTTCTTAATTATTCTCTTACTTTTCAAATAAGGTGTTTATGGAAATGTTCTTTATTCTGGTATGATTTATTATAATTTAATTAATAAATTATAATTTAAAATTAAAAGATTATTATATATTTATTTTGAAGTGTGATTCCACATTTCTCTTCATTTTATTATTTTGCTTATGTGGATTTACAACGTATTCGTATTATAAGTCAAACTATTTTGTATAGACTAATTTTTCTGGTAAGATCCCTATGATTGATAACAAGGTTTGGAAGCTCAACTAAATCACTCTTTGGTGCTAAGGTGTCTTTTTTAACATTGTATTCTAATTTAGATTTATCTAATTTTGAAAATATCTCTTGTTCAGAGAATTTTTAAGTAGTAATAACATAATATATATATATATATATATATATATATATATATAATAAATTTTACATATAAAAAATATATTTAAATAAAAATTTATAAAACATAAAAGTTATAAAAAATCACTAAAATTATATTTCATATTAAAATTATAAAAATAAATAAATAATAATAAAGTAAAAAAAAAAAAATAGGACAACTTAAACAAAATTTGTATATATTTCGTGTTGTATGACTTGTTCCTAAAAACGTTTTTATAGAAAACGTATTGATGACATTTTTTTATTTTTAGTTTCTAAATTTTAATGAGAATGTTTTCTATTTTGAAATGTTTTAATAAGGCAGAAATCGTGTTTCGAAAGTTCAACTTCATCTTCTTTGAAGTTTTTCTCATAAAATACAGCTTACCATTTATGTAATTTTATTTTAATAAATTTAAATTTAAATTACAATAATTTGATAGGAAATCATATTTATTTTAGAATAAGACATGACATAACAATGAATGGAGTGATTTCTAACAATCACCAAGTTTGGATGATTTTAAAAATTGTCCTTGCTTATGTTTTCGTCACTTTGTTCCACTGTCTTTTTTTTTTTCCTAACTTTTTGTTTGTAATTTGAATTAATTAATTTGAGGAAGATGTTGATGTGATGAACAAAAAAGTAAACTTCCTTTCAGTCACCCTATCTTTATGTTTGATGGTGTTGAACACTACACAAACCAAGTTATCAAAATGAGTGGACATAAAAACGAAGGCAAATTCATTTTGGTTGCATTTCACTTATGCTCAGTGCAGAATTCAACTACCTTTGATGCCAGCTATCACTGATTTTTCTCAATCGAGTATATAATATATTTTAGCAGAGCCAGCGCTAGATCATATAATTTAAAGTCAATAGCAACCAATGTAACATACATCACTTAATAAAATTTTATTGTTGTAATTGAAATCCTATATCAGAGACCTGGGTTGAGTTGAGCTAAGTCAACTGCAATTTTTGAAATCCTGGACCAGGTTTTCTGACACCATGAAACAATGTTTAGATAAAACAAACATACCTTATTAGTCCAAAAGTAAGTCTAATTTACCAATCAAAGTTAAAAACTGGGGAACCCAGACCAATACATAGGTAGCAGTCAATAGTCACCAATAATTTTTGGAAGGTCCCTTCTAAGATTTAAGCCTTAAGTTTCTTTGTATCAGCCAGAGCATGAAGCTCCCATCACTACGACTGTTTCACTTCTTCTAATCTTCCTGGTGAGAGGGTCCATGCTCAAGTCTAGCAGTAACCTCTGCATGCTCTGTTTGTGGTTCCAGGTCAATCTTAATTTCTGTAAAATGGGAATATAAGTGAAAGGTTAGGAAGCTTCACACAGGAGAGAAGGAGAATGAGAAGGAGTGAGAGAGAAAGGTTCACCTGCTATGCTTGCTGACAAGTCCTTGTACAGTCTTACAGCACAAGGGAACATTACAATTTTATAGGAGGATATTTCTTTCTTCAGCTCTTCACTCACCTCAGTAAAGTTGTACTTGCGCTTCCACATATCACAAGTCTCCACAGCAGATGGAATTATCAAGTTTTTGACTTTAAGATTGCATAGGAACTACAAAGGGGGAGTGAACACCATATACCGTTATAAATTGTGCATATATAATATTTCTATGAATAACAATGATAGGACATGTGTTGTTTAAAGATCTTAGTCTAATCTCTACCAAATGATTGAAAATGTAACAAGAAATTTTATGATTTTGTTAGTCACCTACCGATTCAATTACCCTCATTAATTCCTGGCAAACTCCTTGGCCCCTGCGTGTCATTTCTGTTGCAATAAGTGGCATTTCTGCAATCCCTGACCCGTGAAATCTATAACCGTGAAGTAAAAATTCAATAAGAATATGAATCTCAATCTTTGTAAATTCATGAGGAAGGCATAGGGTGAACCGTGACACAAAACTAAAGTTGTGCCTGTGACTGACTGTTTTATTACGGGTTTGAATTTGAAACAACTTCGTTGCATATGCAAGGATAAATAATGGCTCTCCCACATACTTTCGCATGGTGAGAAAGTGTTATTTATGTCTAACACATACAGCATCAGAGCACAAGGGTCGTTACTTAGTATACAAAGAGCTTTCACAAACTAAATAACTGAAAAAAGTCCAAAAGATCACTAATGAACATAAAAAGAATACCTTATAGAAGCTGCAGCAATTATCGCATCATCTTCCTCCAGAACAAACATATAAAAACGGCTAAAATCAATCCTGGATAAGTTTGACCTGAATAATAATTGTAACAGTGGATCAAAAGGTTGAATTGTTAATGCCCGACTGCTTATACATAAATTAGTAACTTTAGAAGCAATTAGAAAATGCTGAATGAACAAAATAGCAAGAACATGATGACAGTAGTAATGAGTTGCATGCCTTGAGATTGAAAAAACTAAGTCCTGCAACAATAAGGAATAATACGATATATGTGCTTACTTGCAGCTGTAAACAATACTTCGAACCACATTGATGCCTGTTTTCCTGTCAGTTATTTTCTCAAAAGCTTCATTCATTAACATCCAAGTAACTGCAACCTTTGAATTGTTTTCTAAGAATAGATTCATATATGCAGGATTGTTCTTGTATGTCTCCATTAGGCGGATAACCCTCCAAGAGTATTTTGCCGAATAATCATTTCTGATTCCGAGATATACTCCCATTTTTGCATATATCTATAGCAAAACATATGAAAATTCAAAATGCAATGGAAAATGCCAAAAACATCCAGTATTTGATTTTTCATGAACAAATCAAAGGGAAAGAGTATCTACCCCTTGGCAACCTCGCCCACAATATGATCTTGAAGGTTTGGTTAGTTTTGAGGAATCTTTTTCATATTTTTCAAAGCACTCCCAATGATCTACAAATGTGAAAACAGGCATTGAGGGGGCTTCAGCAAACCAAATGCTCGGTAGGAAAGCAACCCACTTTCAACAGAAAAGGAAATAAAAATAAACAAAGCTAAATGGATAATAAGAAATTTTACACTTCTTGTCACATTGGGAGCACTTGAAGCCTTCTTTTTTCTCATAGTATCTTTTTTTCTCAACAACTAGGTCCACAACCAGCCCACAGTATTTGCATACACAATATGGACAAAACCAATCATTTTGGGGAACCGTCTGCAGTTTAAAAGGAACATATTTACAATATTTATGTAGAGCATCAAATATATCTCCACCTGAAGGATTGCTTCTATGTAATATGAACAGATCTTTTCAGAAAGGAAAGTAAAATTAATTTGATTACCTCTATATTTATGCAAGATAGATGATATGTGGAAGGACACCTGTCACAACAGATTAAGTCTCCCCCATCACCACAGACTGCACAAACATCATCATCTTGGTCTGTATCAGTTTCTTTTGGCACAAACAAAAACATTTGCCGACGCTTTTGTTCCCGGGCATGTTGCCAAACATCAATCAAGCATTTTCGGAGGGTTTTGCGTTTTCTGTGAATGTAAATATGTTTATAGGGCTGTCTAAGAGTACTTCCAGCATGGTTCTCAAAGGTCCACATTGATATCTCCTCCTGGCAACAGCTGCAGAGAATTCCACCCCTAGTAATCCTTCCTGCTAATGGCTTTTCAATTGTGTCACTCCTATAGCTTACTCGTTCATCTTCCTTAATAATCTTAGAGTCTATCAACCATAAAAACGTTGTTTTCTTACATGACCGTACTCTATCAGATGAAGGTGAACCTCTTTTCTTGTTTGCTGCTTGTCTTTCAAGTGATGACGGACTCTTTTCCATTATTGAGCTTGGTCCAGGATTATTAACTTCTTTGTTTTGTTCTACTATTCTCACCCTCTTCTGAGTAGGTTGGCTTGACGTATCCTGCATGCCCCTTTTTGTGCCTCGTGTACATGACCTAACTCTTTCAAGCCAAAGTGAACCTCTTTTGTTGTTTGTTGCTTGTCTTTCGGGCGATGATGATGGACCTTCTTCCATTATTGATCTTGGTCCAGGATCACAAATTTCGTTGTTTTTTTCTTGTATTCTTGCCCTCTTCTGAGTAGGTTGGTTCAGTGTACCCTGCATGCCTCTTCTAGCACCTCGTTTAGATGAACTTGCTCTTTCAGGAAAAGGTGACTCTCTTTTCTTGTCTGTAGCTTTTCCTTCAGGTGATGATGGACCTTTTTCTATTACACCTCGTTCACAAACCCTTTTGCATCTAGTAATTGACTCCACGTTTGTCTTTGCCATTTTATTCTTCACTGCTCTTGGAGTGCCTGATGTTCTGTTTCCACCTTTTCCAAAGATTGGCTTAAGCGTTCCCATCAAATCAGCCCTAAAGACCACTGTTTCTGTCTCTTTTTCCCTTGAAATGCTAAATTTT